ACTCAAATGGGAAAACAGAATGGAGAAAAAAATGAAACATTAATTCCTGTTGCTCCAAAAGAGGCTAATGCCGGACTGGGAGGGTTCTGCTGGGCAGGATGTGAAAAGAAACAGGATACACATCTCTCTTGATCAGGGAAAAGGAAACACTGTGGGTGTTTGTTTGTTTGTTTGTTTGTTTGTTTTTTAGGGAAGACTAAATTTTTGTTGGTACTATACTTTGAAAGAAATCTCTCCTAGGGTACATAGCAGGCAAACAGAATGGACAATATATTGATAATGGTTTTTGGATCAAATCATAATTTCTTCAAAAAGAAATTCATGTGGTTAGTTCTTATGATGGCTTCTCTTTTAAAAGATTTTATTTATTTATTTGACAGAGATCACAAGTAGGCAGAGAGAGGAGGAAGCAGGCTCCCTGCTGAGCAGAGAGCCCGACTTGACTCGGGGCTCGATCCGGGACCCAGAGATCATGACCTGAGCCGAAGGCAGAGGCTTTAACCCACTGAGCCACCCAAGTGCCCCTTATGATGACTTTTGATAGGAGTTCGAAATCCTGACGTTGGAGTTTAGCCCAGAGTTGCTGATTTACTGTGGGCATTTGATCAGCTCTTGAAAGCGCCCCGCATTACACTCAGGCTGGTGAGAATTTTTGGATACAAGTGTGTTTTTCTAACGTATCAGTCATTCTTTGGCATCTTTGTTTGAAAACATAAACACTGTGTCATCAGTGTTGTCATCCAGTCACTCTGATTTTTTTTTTTTAAGATTTTATTTATTTATTTGACACAGAGAGAGAGAGATCACAAGTAGGCAGAGAGGCAGGCGGTGGGGGTGGGGTGGGTGAGAAGCAGGCTCCCTGCCGAGCAGAGGGCCTGATGCCGGGCTCGATCCCAGGACCCTGAGATCATGACCTGAGCTGAAGGCAGAGGCTTAACCCACTGAGCCACCCAGGCGCCCCCAGTCACTCTGATTTTTAATAGGATGCATTTTGGGTGAACCCTATGACATGCAACTAGACATTCGACCTCTATGCCTACACTGATAATTAAGGGGGAATAGGGGACACAGTCATTCAGACATGAATCCACTTAAGTTATTTGATCTCTTTATTTATACCCTGTCTCTTTTCACAATTCAGTCAGTGCAGCATACAGAAGATGCATAAGTAAAATGGTGAATTATAAATTTAAAATTGAGACAAGGAAAACAAAGTGAATACGGAGTCAAGACCAGGGTGGGTATAGGGTTGGCCAGAAGGAAGATAGGATGGCAATAAAGTCCTTCTATTGTTACAACTTGACTGCGTATTTGCTCAGGGCTTCCTGGAGGAGAAGAAGCAAAGTTCACTTTTCCCCCACTCCGGTCCACAAACGTCTGGCTGAAGCACAACCGTAGCGCGTCTCCATTACTCTCCTAATCCGTAGCCATCACCTCCACCCAGAACTAAGGATGATATTATTTGCTCTTTGTGACCCAACAATAGCCACCCAAGGCCTCCACTTCCAAGTTCTAGGAGCTCTGGGGGGGGTTTCTCTGTATTGCTCTGGGCTGTTTCTGTTCTCAGATCTACCCCAGGCTCCTACTGCCTGCTTCGAGTTTGTCTCCTTCATAACTTCAGCTCAACTATAGCTTTACCTCTTCTTCGTGGGCCTGATTCCTTCCAGGGGTGTCTCTTCAGATCTGGCCACGTCTACTAGTCTGCTCGCTGGCTCATGGGGCTCTGTCCAAGAGCGCTAATCTGGTTCCCAAGGTCATCCTTTTATATGCGGCCATGGTCTAATTTGCTGGGCAGTCTACGGACTGGTGGACTGGGTCGGGTACTGTCTCAGATCACTTAACCATGATGGGTCTAGTAACATGGTCCAAAATACCAGCCGGGTAGGGGTGGATGGGAGAGGCAGGGGGGATGTGGCAGGAGTGTGGGTGAAACCATTTTCCCTGCAATGAGATGCAAGTGTGGCAGACGATCCTTCCTCTATTCATCTGGGACAGTGACTGAGTATAAGCCTGGGAACACTGGTCGCCCTCCCCGCTCTGTTACAACACTTCACAATCGGTCTTTATGAAAAAAATCTCTTCTTCTGAGTGGCTAATGTCATTCTCTTTGGAAGTATGTTAAAGGCCCTGCATTGAACAATCTTCTTATTTTTTGTTCTTTTAAAGATTTATTTACTTATTTGAGGGGGGGATGAGGTGGGAGCCCGACCCGGGGTTTGATCTCAAGACCCTGAGATCACGACCCTGAGATCACCACCAGAGCTGAAACCAAGAATCTGCTGCCTGACCGACTTTGCCATCCAGGCACCCCAGCAATCTTTTAAAATATACTAGGCATATGGATTTCTGAATGTGTTTCACTATAGTCCCTTCCTTGCATTTAAAAAAAAAATGTCATATTGATTTAGAGTCTGTGGAACAAGTCTTTTTGGACTCTTTGCTACTCAGATGGAGGACATCAACTGGAAGGAAACCGTTAGAAATGCCGGGTCTCAACCTCACACTGACTTGCTGAATAAGATTCTTCATTTCAACAAGATGCCCAGGGGACATTACCGTTGGAGAAGCATTTTGTAGAGCAAGCTTGGGGAAGCAATGAGGACTTTGACCAGGAACTGAGGCTACGAGAGGTGATGTGTCTTACCTGCCGTCGTCGGACGGGTCAGAAATAGATTTGTGCTCAGAATCTAGTTCTTGGGTCCTGGTCCTATTCTCTCTCTGATGCCCCATAACGTCTCCCACAGCTAGGAAATGAGGGGGCTTGATTAGATTAGTGTTAGAGGAATAAATTAACACACAATTAGGGTGATCATGTAATTTATCACCCAAACATGGTCACTTTGAGACCACAAGTGGAGAAGAGATGCCAAGTGACACAGGTGGTCATTCTACAGATGTAAAGATTCTTCTAGTTTGCTGTTCTGATCTGCTAACTAAACTAAACATCATAAATATCCATAAACTGGATGATCTTAAAGTTCTAACTTTTAAATAAAACCCAGTTCTCAAGTAAACACACACACACACACACACACACACACACACACACACACACACACAATCTCACTATAATAGATAAATCATAGATAAATCGTGATCTAACCTAATCAAGAAAAAAAGGGAGCCCAAATCAACAAAATAGAGTGGAGAAACATTGAAAAGGGTTCTGTAATTACTTCGCTAAAACCCATTCCAATAAATTTGAAAACCTGGATGAAATGAGTGCTTTCCTGGTTGTCTGTCATGCACCAATACAGTGGCCTCGCTGGGGCTGGGAGCTATAGCTCATGGCTTTTTGTCACGTCATTTCCCCGTGAGTCAACCGGACTTCAGAATTTGGTTTCTGGAACCGTTTTCCAGCACTTTAAGTCAGAACTAAGATATCTGGATAGCGTGGGAGGAACTTGGTTCTTCCACCAGGATGGGAATGAGATTATCTGCAGAGATGGTCTCTGATTGTGGCTCTTATGGCAAATGCCTGCCTGTCCTCTGTGACAGCAGCTTCTTGGGCCACTCTCCTGCTTCCGGGCTCTAGAAATGAAACACAGACGTGTCCTTGACCCTGAGAATCCTGAGTCTTGGACCTGGGAGGTCTCATCCTGTCAGAGATTGGTTAGTTCTAGCCCCTCCCTTTACAGATGAAGAAACTGACAAAGGAAAGGAAGTAACTGCCAATTGAGCCTAATTTCAAGTTTTGTGTTTACTATTACACTCTCTTTAATATCGTTACCATTAATAATAGTAACAAGTGATGTCTATTCGTTTGTTTACTCCTTCCTCTCCCTTTAATAGCTGTATGAGGCAGGCAGTCTTACACCATCCCCATTTTGCAGAAACTGAAACACAGAGGGGTTAAGTGTTTTACCCAGAGACACACAGCCAGAGTAGAGACTAGAGCCCAAGTGATCGGATTCCAGAGTCTGTATATACCCTTACCTCCATTTTCTACAACAAGAGTTCTCACACTATAGTGAGACGACCTATATCTCTGACTATGTACACAAGGGAGCCACTAGGCATGGTAATTTTTTTTAAAATTTTTTTTAGATTTATTTATTTGAGAGGGAGAGAGAGAGAGAATGAGTGAAGAAAGGTCAGTGGGAGAAGCAGACTCCCTGCCTAGCAGGGAGCCCGATGCAGGACTCGATCCTGAGACTCCAGGATCATGACCTGAGCCGAAGGCAGTCACTTAACCAACTGAGCCACCCAGGTGCCCCAGGCTTGGTAATTTTTAAGAAAGTGTCCCAAGAGATAGGAGAGAAACTATGGTTTACCTGATACTCACCACCTGTCAGTCACTATTCTAAGTGCTTTTACATGCATCAGCTCAGTAATCTTAAAACCCAGTGCCCCCTCCCCCACAAAAGAAACACAAAGAGGAGGATGCCCTAGCCTCACTGATCAGATGGAGAAAACGAAGCCCCCCCAAATTTCCATAACTTGCTTGAGATGCTAAAGCTGGGGGAAATCCAGGGTTCGTAGCCAGCCGACCGGCAGGTGAGCATCACACTTCATTGCCAATTAACTCGACTCTTCCGTCTGACCTCAAAGCCCTTGACAGACAGGAGTCACTTCTCACCGCTTAGTCGATTTTCTCCGATTAGATAAGGAACTGATGCTCAGAAAGATGAAGCAACTTGCTAAGGGCCACGCAGTGACTCGGTGGCAGCCTAGCCAGGGATCCAGACTCCGCGGTATACTGTCTTCACTTCCCCAGGTTTCAGGGATGCGTTCCAAGGCTCGCTCTCTGCGACAGAGGCTCCCACTCGCGGCGCCCCGAACACGCAGGTGTCACCACCCAAGGCTCCGCTGGGTCCCTCCAGGACCAGACACCGCCCCCTGGCGGCAGGTGGGCGCCAGCGCAGGACATGCTAATGAGCCCGCGGCGCGGCGCGCTGATTGGCTGGCGCGGATTCCGGCGGCTTTCCAGGGGGGGGGTGCCGAGGCAGAGTAAGGGGGCGCAGCCCGCAGCACCCGCCCCGCCCCGCGCTCGGGCCGCCCTCCTCCCCGGGAACGCCAGGGCGTGTGCGCGGCATGTGGGCGCCTTGGCCGGGGGCTTCCTCTCCTGCGCTCCGCTCGGCTTCTGGTGGTGCCTTCATCCAGGGTCCAGGATGACGATCCGACACCAAGGCCAACAGTACAGGCCCAGGATGGCATTTCTGCAGAAGGTGAGCGCGGTCCGGTGCCCTGGGCCCCGGGAGGTGCGCGGGGTCCCAACTCTGGGAAGTGTCCGCGGAGATGCTGGCGAGGCGCGGGGCGTGTGGCCGGAGTGGAGGGCATCCCTGTGGTCTTCAAACTGGCGTGTGTTGTAATAACATTATCTGTTCAGGTTTGCAAGCTGCCCGCTGGTCTTGAAGAGTCAGCCGTGCTTGGGCGGAAAGTCGGAGGGTGAAGAGCTTCCCATGAGCTCAGGCCGGACTGTTCCGAGGCTGTTCTACGCCCTTTCCCCCAGCGGTTCCCACCAACTCCGGTGATCCACAGGCTGACCTGCACGTGAATGCCCAATGTGTTGCCCTTCTTCCTTCCCCTGGCTCCCTAACCCAGCTACCTATTGCTGCTTCCCGAGATCAGCCCTCTTACCAACACTATGAGGTCCCATTATTTCCCCCAATTTTACACGTAAGGGAACGGGTTGTTGAGGACCAGGACTGGAAGAACTGCTGCAATTTGGTGAAACTGGTCTCAGTAGGACAGCAAAAACATGAAGTGTGCTGCCTGCAGTGGGCCGGAGTCTCCAATCCTGTGTGAGGCACCCCAAGTCGAGAGAGCCTTGAGGCTGAGACTGAAGGGATTTCTGCCCAAGAAGTGCAGAAGGGAAGCCGCAGGGGGTGGGGGTGGCGTGTGTCAGAGCAGAGGCCAGAGCGAGTCTGGTGTTGGAGGCAGGTTGTTTGATATTGCTGGATTTATTATACCAGGAGAGTGTGAGGCTGGACAGGGAGGCCACAACGGATCATACCCATCTCCTGTGCCTTTCAGAGGTGGCCTGATTTCCCCCAGAAGAAGCCACTGAGGAGTTTGGAGCAGGTGAGTGATGTGGTCAGATTCAAGCTCAAAATCAAGGTCAAGAGACCAGCCTGATGTGAAGGAGAGGAAAGATAGGATGTCTTCTTTTCCCGGAGCTTACAGAGTTCACCCAAGTCCTCCTGTGTTCACCACAACTCTAGCTGCCTAGAAAGTGACAGGCTTATCAAGGACCGGGAGAAAGGTTACTGGTCAGAGGTTGCTTCTTTCTCCTCCGACTGCCGTGTCCCCATCTCAGGCACAGAGCACCTCTCAGGTAGACAGGCCCGCCAGCCCCTGCTGCTACCCACTTCTGATTTCTGTTGCAGGATGTGGTGACTGGCACCCCACCAGGGAGGGCTGCTGGGCTTGCTTAAGATGTGGCAGAAAGAGGGGTGCCTGGGTGGCTCAGTTCGTTAAGTTGCTGACTCTTGGTTTCAGCTCAGGTCATGATCTCAGGGTCGTGAGGTCGAGTTGCATCAGGCTCTGTGCTGGGTGTGGAGCCTGCTGAAGATTCTCCCTCTCCCTCTGCCCCTTGCCACCTCTGTCTCTCTCTCTCAAAAAAAAAAAAAAGAAAAAAGAAAGATGTGGCAGAAAGAAAGAGGTAGAAAGTCTACAGTCCAGGAACTTTGCCTGGGGGCAGTGAGCCAATGACACACAGTGGACAGAAGAGTGTGGCTAGGCAGCCTGATGTGGCCCCTGACACCCACAGGGCTCTTTTCTGATTCCAGCCTATCTTCTGTGTCCTGGCAGCTCTGGCCAACTAGGGGTGAGGTAGACAAAATGTTCCTCCAGGCCTCTAAAGTGTTTTTCTGTTCAACTTAGGGAGGCTTTTGGGCCTGGGCAAGGACTACAAGGAGTAGGGATCTTAAGAAGGCTTGGACAGATTTAGAATTGCTTGGGGAGGGGTATCTGTGTGGCTTAGTTGGTTGGGCTTTTGGCTTGAGTCATGATCTGGGAGTCCTTGGGATCAAGCCCGGCTTTGAACTCCTTGCTCAGCGGGGGGCTTGCTTCTCTCTTTCTGCTTGCCTCTCCCCCTTGCTTGTGTGCTTTCTCTCTCTCTCTCTGTCAAATAAATGAATAAAAAAAACCCTAAAATTGCTTGGAAAGCATATATATATGTATATGCCTCCACGTAGCACACGCACACGGAGGATCTCCTGTGTTTCAGACATCGTTAGATGCTGGGATGGCAGAGACATTTGAGACCTGATCCCTGCCTACAAGTGGCTTCTAGTCTAGTAGGGGGAGACAGCCATATACACCAATCTCGTGCCTCATCACAGGTGCCATGACAGACACTAGGAGGTAGAGGAAGTGCCTATGCAGGCACATTCACTGTATCCTGGGTGCAGTATCATGAAAGGATTCTGGAAGGTTCTGTGGTGGTTCAGCTGGCTTTCGAAGGGCGCGAGGGTGTTCTTGAGGCAGACGGGGTGTCAGAAGGGGACGGGACACGGGAGCAGGAGGACATGCAGTTAGCTGGGGATCCGTTGTGTGTCTGTTGTTGACTGGAGTCAGATGGTGTTGGCCATCCAGCAGTTCTCTTTCCAGAGCGAGGTTCTGGAATACTTGGGAAAGGTTCTCAGTGGTTGTTGAGAATGTAACAGAAGTGAGGACTTTTGGGGGCTGGACACAGCTAGCAAGGCATGTAGGACTCGGGCCTACAGACTGTGCTTGGTGGCAGTGGACAGGACGGGACGGGACAGGACAGGAACCCTGCTGGAGAACAGAGTAGGGTGGTTGGGACCCTGTTACGTCTTTGCACAACGAAGGATACGATAGGTTGGTCGCCAGGAAGCCCTCTCTGATTTATAGGAACATTCTGCTCTCTGACACCTTATGGAGAGTGACAGCCACTTCACATGGGGGGAAACCGTGAGCGTGGGTGGACGGGCTCTGGACACTCTTGCTTCTGACGGGCTTGTAGTGACCGTCTGGATTCTCAGCAGTGCCTGATGTCCTACCTCAGCCAGCGGGACTCTGTGAAGGGCAACACTAGGCTCGTTGTGGGGTCAGAGAAGCCAAGGACGACCGCTTTCTTGCAGCTTTTATTTGTGACCTCAGGAGTTAGTCGTGGAGAAGTCAGGATTCTAGGGAGCCAGGAGGCTGTGGTCTGGACAGCAGTGTGTAAGTGTGTGTGTGTGTGTGTGTGCATGCGTGTGCACTTTCTTTTATTGATGGCCAAGATCACCTCTCTGAGACTTTGGGAGTCGGTCCTACATTTTACATGTTAGATTTATGATCACTCTTTTTTAAGGAACCACTTAAGTGAATTTACGTTGGAAAAGGTCAGAGGAAAATTATTCTGGACCCAAATGGAAAGATTCTTGTCTTAGACAGCTTACACTGCTCGAACAAAATACCACAGCCTGGCTAGCTTATAAACAACAGAAATTTATTTCTCCCAGTTCAGGAGGCTGGAAGTCTGAGACGCCAGCGTGGTTGGGTCTGGTGAGAACCCTCTTCCCAGCCCCATACTTCGTGCGGTGTCCTCACATGGTGGAAAGGGCCAGAGAGCTCGCTGGGGTCTCTTTGATTCTCAGGTCGCTAATCTCATTGATGAAGACTTTGCAGAAATAAAACTAATGAATCACCGAGATAGTAATTAGTAAAAGTTGATGGTAAAAGACACTTTGCAAAACAGGAGCACTCAGACCAAAGCATGGAATGAGGCTCAGGGACATATTGTTCAAAAACAACTTAGAATGCGTGAAGACAGTGAGTTAATCCTTTATGGGGGATTGGTTTTAATATGAGAATTTTCCTAAATGATAAGGAAGTCGGCCGTGCTTACCTTACATCAACCGGGGGCAACAGTTCACATTTGCTTATAATTTCCAGAGATGTAAGCAAGAAACAACCCAGGTCAAGTTAGCCTTGCAAAATAAACCAAATCAGTCTTCGTACAACTACACTGGCTTTTTGTTTGGTTTTGTTTTGTTTTTTTTTTCTTTCCCGCTTAGGGAATTTTCAAGGCTGTTCTTCATTCATTTTGGATTTTAAGTTTCCACTTATGACTATTAGGGTCACACAAATATTCAGACCATAACAACTCCTGAAACATATACGTGGGACACACACACTCCCCTCTCCCCGGCAAAACCTCCCTTCGTACACAGTGGGACCTCCTTGCCGGCAAGAAATCTGCCTCTTTTTTCCTGGGTGTTTCAAAATAGTTCTTATTGATCTTTGGGGGTTAGATTCAAAAGTTTTTCATAGACGCATTTTTTTTTTTTTAAACACAAAGGGAAAGAAAGGAACCTGCTGGATATTTTTATCAGAGAAGTTTCAATTTCTAAGTGGCCCCATGAGTAAAAGCTCCTCCATCTGCTACCTAGGATCCCCCGCCCCTACCCTCCACCCTGACCCTCTACCAAGAAGATGGCATTTCATCCAGTGAAATGTAGTATTTTTGGTAAAAGTTATTTATAACCTGAGAAGTTATGAGTAAAGGAGGAAGTATTCAGCCGTGTCATTAGAAACTAACTCTAGCTTAACAGTGTGTGTGTGTGTGTTGGGGAAGAAGGCACCTCTGGCTGCTGCTACAAGGAGGGGACCCCCATAGTCGGTGGCTCCCCCAGGCCCCCGATGTCCAGGAGATGCAGCCTCCTCCCAGCCCCTCTGCTCCCTTGCTGCTGAGGGCCCCTGGCTGGTCCAGTGGCCAAGATGCTGTCACGGTTCCGGAGCCATCTGTGAGCCCAGAAAGTGTCCCTGCAGATGAAGTGTGCAGTCAGCTTTGCACGAGGAGCCCTGGGTGCCACGTGGGCCCCCACGTGTGGCAGGCACTGCGTCTGGAATGGTTTCAACAGACAATGCACCTGATTCCAGCCCCTATCTAAGGATGGTGGTTCAGCAGCAAATACTGGTTTAGCAGCAGAAGGAAAGAGGAATCCCAGCCCCTGCCCCCCACACTGACTTCTGAGTAGGGGGTGGCACGTAGAATTTCTCCAGTTCAGGGCTCCCCTGCTCAACTCTTCTTTCCAAAGCAGCCGGGTCCGTGTATACCTCCTTCCTCTCTACCTGGCCGCATCACGGGCTTCCTTCCAAGTCCACTTCCTCCAGGAAGCATTCCCTGACCATCCTGATCATCTTGGCTCCCTTTGAGGTCCACGTGGGGCACACTTTCTTCTGTGCTTTGTGTTGACCTCTGGCTGTCCTGCTACCCCAGCTCCCGGAAGACAAAGATTATGTTGTATCTTTTTAGCAATCGTGGAATTGGATCCATAAGAAGAATTCAATTACATTTCTCTCGGATTAGGTTGTCCGGCTATGTTTTTCTTCTGTAGCTTTACTGACTGGTCCCTGAAGGGCAGATTGTGACAATAACTTCTGTCCCTGGCACCCCCCCACCCCAGCTGTCACTGTTTCTGTGTTGCCTTAGAGTGTATCTGTTTCATAGTCAATGTTTTCATTTGCTCTTCACAGCTACCCCTTTAAATAGATGGGACAGGAATTACATTTTTTCCCTCAGTGGATAAAATTGCAGAGATTCAGAGAGGTTCGGTGATGGGCTCAGAGTCACACAGCTGACCCTGAATGCTTCTTTGATGCAGGGAAGACCAGTGGTCCCACTGGGACCGTGGGTACATTCAGGCACTGAAAGGGCTTTGTGAACTCAGGGCTCGTACAGTGTTGCACAGAGTTGGGATGAATAGCAGGAAAATTGCTGCGGCAGAGGGGCACCTGGGTGGCTCAGTTGGGAAGCGTGTGCCTTCGGCTCAGGTCATGATCCTGGGGTCCTGGGATTGAGCCCCGTGTTGGGCTCCCTGCTTGAGGGCGGGGGCAGGGGGAGTCTACTTCTCTCTGCTGCTGCTCAGGCTCTCTTGCTCTCTCAAATGAGTAAACACGTTAAAAATAGAAAAGCTACTGCAGGATTGAAAGAGTTCAATCAAGAGGGAGCCATGGTTGGCAGGGGTCCTCCAGATGGAGATGTGGCAGGCCAGACCCGGCAGCTATGGGGATGGTGAGGAAAGACCTTCCGTCTCACTGTGGTTATCTGCACCAACCCGGGTACTTCCTGCGTCCCTCCCTCTGCTTGGGCTGTGCTCGCATCCTGGGATGCCCTCTCCCCTCCCTCCCTGGAGCTGGAGGCTGAGGCTGGAGGTCCAGACATCTCCTGGATGCTTCTGGGCGTCTCTTCTGGCAGACCAGCACCCACCAGTCTTGCTTTTCCCAAACAGGCTGCTGCGTTTGGGTTTCCTAGCTTGGACCCAGATGCCTCCATTTGCCTGGCAGGGAGGCTGGAAAGCCTGGGATCCTGTTCTCTTTCCCTCACCAAGTTGTCCCCGGTGTCCAAGGACAAGGGCCCACACCTGCAGGTGCTTCTGGCCTGCACCCCGTCTTGTCCTTGCTGCAATGGCCCAGACCGCGCAGCTAGCACCAGTTCTTGGGGCCCCCACCGCTGCACGCCCCCTTTCTCGTTACCGTCTACAAACCAAGGCAAATGATGATGCTCCTTCCTGAGAGCTCCCAGTGGCCTGGGGCTGCGGGCTGAATCGAGTCCGCCCCCCCCAACCCCAGAGTCCGTGTTCAAGTTCTCACCACCAGAACCTCAGAATGTGACTATATTTGGATGTTATCTTAGTCTGCTCTGGCTGCCAAAATAAAATCTCACCGACTGGGGGAGCTTCCACAGCAGAAATGTCCTGTCTCCTGTCCTGGAGGCGGGAGAGCAAGGTGCTGGCAAGGTGGGTTTTATTCTGACAACTCTGTCCTTGGCTTGTAGGCAGCGACCCTCTGGCTGGGTCCGCAGGAGACCCCAGAGAGAAAGAGGAGAGGGGGCCCTCAGGTCTCTTCTTATAAGCACGAATCCTCTCTGAGCATGGCCCTATCATTCTGACCTCATTTAACCTTAATGACTTCCGGAAAGGCCCCGTCTCTAAATACAGCCTTCCTGGTGGTTGAGAGATTCACCGTCCAAATGGGGAGGGGGAGGGTCACAAACATTGAGTTCCTGACAGACAGAACCTTCAAAGAGGTGATTAAGTTCAAATGGGGCCAGTAGGGTAGGGTCTCATCCAGTGTGACTGGTGTTCCTATAAGAGGAGATTAAGACACACAGAGAGACACACGGGACACTAGGCAGAGGGATGGCCACCTGTCAGCCAAGGAGAGAAGCCTGGAAGAAACCCACTTTGCTGACACCCTGATCGCAGACTTCCCAGCCTCCACACCCAAGAGAAAATGAGTTTCTGTTGTTTAAGCCACACTGCCCATCCCCGTTGATGGTCATTTGCTCTAGGGCAGAGACCGATACACATTATGAAATGACATTCACAGTCTTCTGGGTCCTGCATCCCTCTGTTTTTCCCCCATGCACACCATGCCTTTCTGTGCTCTCAGGCCTTTGCACACGTTTGCTCCCCCAGTCTGGGATGCCCCCTTTCCCTGCGGCGAGGCAAGGCGTTCTCACCCCGTGCTCTCCTGTTAGAACCAGGGGACCGCAAGCAGACGGGATGTGTGTGGCTCCCGGGCTGAAAGCGGTGAAATGTAGGTGTGTACACCCCTCAGTGTTGTCTCTCTCCCTGCATCAAGATCAGGAAAGCAGGTGCTGGAAGGCAGGACCAATGGTGGCGGCGGCCTGGATCTCAGAGTCAGGACCTTGACAGAATGCCCTGGACCATGGCCCACTGGAATTTGCATTTGGGTAAGAGAAATAGATCTTTGTTGTGTTAAGTTTTTGATTCCACAGTGCGGTCCAGTCTGTCCTAATACAGCCTTATCTTCTGCCCAAATCTTCACCTTCTAAGTCCCTATTTAAATGCTACCTCTTTTTTTTTTTTTTTTTTTTTTAGATTTTATTATTTGAGAGAGAGAGAGAGCAAGCCCAAGTGACAGGAGAGGTGGGAGGAGGGGCAGAGGGAGACGCAGACTCCATGGTGAGCTAAGCAGGGAGCCCGACCGGAGACTTGATCCCAAAACCCCAGGACCATGACCTGAGCCGAAGGCAGACACTTAACTGGCTGAGCCACCCGAGAGCCCTGCTACTTCTTTCTTTAAAAGCTTTCCAGGGCGCCTGGGTGGCTCAGTCGGTTGAGCGTCTGCCTTCAGCTCGGGTCATGGTCCCAGGGTCCTGGGATCAAGACCCGAGTTGGGCTCCCTGCTCAGTGGGGAGCCTGCTTCTCCCTCTCCCACTCCCCCCTGCTTGTGTTCCTCTCTTGCTATCTCTATCTCTGTCAAATGAATAAATAAAATTAAAAAAAAAAAAAAAGCTTTCCAGAATCAACCCACACCCATTCAGAACTAATCACTTTCCTTTGTACTTTGATGGTATGGGTACCTTACATCTGTCTGACAGCGCTTAGCTTAGCTGGCTGGTTTACGTGCCTGTAGAGTTAGGGACATGGAATGATTAAGAGGATGAATATTGGAACGGGACTGACTGGGTTCACATTTCACATTTCAGTCCTGCCGTTTATCCGCACTGGGACATTTGGTGAGAACCTTGGTTCCTCTCTGTCCGTCTGGTACCTACGGGAGTACTTACTACAGCGATAAGTCACTCAGTAGTACCTGCTTGTCAGCCTCCATCTGTTTTGTCTTGCAGACTGAAGAGTCAGTAAAAGACGCAGAGCCAGAGATGGGGAGCAACGTGTAAAGCCACGGGGTGCTGTGATTACAGACTCAAGGGCCCTTGTAACATGACAAGTGGTATAGTCGATGGCATAGGCAAGGGCCATCAGAGACTCCAGCTCCCTACAAATTAATCCAAATTGGAGGGACAAAACTCAGGGGGAGGGAGGAAGGCAAGATGAATTCAGTGTCACTTTTTTTAAATCACTTTCCCCAAAGTCATCATTTTATGTGTATATCCAGAGACATGCCTATCTTGGAGATATTTTGAGATTGGTTCCAGACTACTGTAATAAGGCAAACATGGCAATAAAGCGAGTCAAGTGAATTTTTTGGTTCCCCGGTGTCTGTAAAAGTTATGTTTACCCTATACTGTGGCCTTGTAAATGTGCAAGAGCATTATGCTTGCACACAATGTATGTATCTTAATTAAAAATACTTTATTTTAAAAAGACTTTATGGCTAAAACATGCTAACTCTCATTTGAGTTTCCAATGAGTGGTAATCACTGATCACAGATCACTGTAACAAATATAATAATAATGTAAAAGTTTGAGGGGGGACTGGGTGGCTCAGTTGACTAAGTGGCTGCCTTCAGCTTGGGTCGTGATCCCAGGGTCCTGGGGTCAAACCCCGCGTCGGGCTCCCTGCTCAGTGGGGGAGTCTGCTTCTCTCTCTCCTTCTCCCTCTGTGCTCTCTCTTTCAAATAAATAAATAAAATCTTAAAAAAAAAGAAAAAGTCTGAAATTTTATGGGAATTACAGAATGTGACCCAGAAACATGAAGTGACCAAATGCTGCTAGGAAAACAGAGCCAAAAGATTTGCTTGACTCAGGGTTGCCACCAATCTTCAATTTGTGAAAAACACAGCATCTGTGATGTGAATCAAATGCAGCACAACAAAACAAGGCATCTCTGAAGTTTAATGAATTTTTTTCTACTGTGATGAATTATCTTGATTGATTTTTAGAATATTGAATCATCCTTGCAACCCTAGTTGGATGCTTGATTTTTTTTAAAAAGATTTTATCTATCTACTTTATCTATTTATTTTTAAAGATTTAATTTATCTAAGAGAGAGAGAGAGAGAGAGAGAGAGCTCACACTTGCACGCATGCACGAGGTGGGGGGAGGGGCAGAGGGAGAAGCAGGCTCCCCACTGAGCAGGGAGCCTGCCATGGGGCTCCATCCCAGGACCCTGAGATCACGACCTGAGTTGAAGTCAGACGCTCAACCGACTGAGCCACCCAGGCACCCCGGATGCTTGATTTTATTTATTAATATTTTATTGAAGATTTTGCATCTGTATTCAAGAATGGGGCTTTTTGTTTTTTGTTTTCTTTTCTGACGCCAATCAGTTTTTCGACACCAACTGGGTGTCTCACAGTTCAATTCAGTTCTGACACTACCTGGGGTTGGCATCAGACTCCACAGGTTTACAATCTCAGTCCTACAAGACTGTCCCCATGTTAGATGCCCGTCCAAGTCCTAGGTCACCAGTACTTCCGATGACTGGCTATCAATCCACAGCATCCCCAAGCACATGGTTGGATAACTCACTAGACCAACTCCTAGAACTCACAAATCGTTTTACTTACTATTAGCAGTTGATTATAATGGATACAGTTTAGGAACAAGCAAATGGCAGAGATGCACGGGGCAAAGTACAGGAGGGTGGTGGGGTGTTTGGAACTTCCAAGCTCTCTCAGGGTGAGTCCCTCCCCAGAACCTAGATGTGTTCACCAACCTTGAAACTCCCTGAGCCCATCATTTTGAGGTTTTTATGGAGGTTTCATTATATAGGCATGATTGATTAAATCACTAGACATTATTGATGGACTCCAGCCCCTCTCCTCACTCTAGAAGTCAGGGGATGGGGCTGAAACTTCCAACCTTCTGGTCAAGCCTTGGTCTTTCTGGGGACCAGCCCTGAGGGCCTCCAGCCACCAACCATCTCTTCAGCATCCAAAAGACACTCTTAACACTGCTGAGATGCCAAGTGTTTAGGAGCTGTGTGTCAGATTTGCGACAAGGCCAAATCTTCACTCATTTCCAAGGACAGTAAGCTGTAGGGCAAGCTCTGAGGGAGTTGGATTGGAGAGACAAGATTTTCAGTCCAGCCTGGCAGAGACCATCTTAGGATCCCGTCTACCGCTGTTGGGACTACGCTTCTGGCTTGGTGGTCCCAGCCCTCTGTGCCACCCTTCCCCAACTCTCTACATGCTCAAATCTCCTGCATCTTACCTGTTATCCTGAATCTCCCCAAGAGCTTCTAGAACAAGGGCAGCTCCTTCTGCACTTGGTAGGTGCTGTTCCCACTGGAGTCTGGCATCCTCTTGCAGAATAACAGGAACTACTGTGATGTGAGCAGCTCTGGTACCTGCTCTTCTGTGTAAATGTCTGGACTCAGTTCATGACACAGCTCTCGGAGCTGCTCAAAATCTCATGGGCTGTTGACTTAACTTGGTATGAGAATTTTCTAAAGCGCTGATGTAAGATCTCTTGCCTGGCCTGGTGCTATTTTCCTGGCTGCATTTCCGCCCCCCAGTAGTCTTCTTTTTCCACCCTCCTCTTGCACAGGTGGAGCTTGGGGACCTTAAGTTCTTCAGTCCTATAATTATTAATTTGTCACAGATAGGTGCTGTTGAGCTCAAACCCCAAGAGCTAGCTCTTCAAATTCCTTTAAATTCCTCTTTTGGGTCACTCTTCAAGTATACCAAATTAAGACCAATGTAGATAAATGACAGCTGCTGTTGGGAGCATATATAAAATGTACACAAAGCCGGTCACTACTGGAATTTATAATTAGAAGTGGAGAAAATACCTAAGAGCTCTCTAGATAATTATAGCTCTAATATCTCAATAAGGGACAAATTTTGACTATGTACCCAATGGAATTGAAGGGTCCTATTTGATTAGAAAATTATCTGCAGTTAGTCTTAACACCAAGTACAGTGTCATAGAGGAATGGAGATTATTAAATACATGAATACAGGTTTTGGTTCTTGGATGGGTTAAATGGGTGTTGGAGGAAGTCATCAAGTGGACGTTGGTCACCAGTTGGCCCTTAGGCTGGACCTGGGCAATTGAAGGCTCCTCACCCCTCCCATCCTTGAAGTTTATATTCTGCCTGCTGTTCCCATGGTGAGAGTCATTTTCAAGGACGTAGCTTTGAGAGAGCAGTTTGTGTTGAGTTAATCTGGACAGCACACAGGACCGAACCCCATTAAGGCTCCTAATGCAAACTTCTAAGATTCTGGTGGGTGGATGAGATTTACTTGTCTTATATCCACCCGAGACAAGCCTTGCATATTAGACCCACTACCTACTAATATGGGGTTGGCCTTTTTCTTTGGTCTCTCCTTGTGCTCTGTGCATGGGGAACAGTTCCAGATTTCACCCAGGAAGCTCCTAAGCTTTTGAACCAACAAGAGGGCCAATAAGTACTTCAACTTCAGAAAGAGTTCAAATATATAGAATGAAATCAATCATCAATGGAAAGGACAAAGAGACTATCTACACAGACCCCAAATCCAAACTTGGTGAGCTGGGAGCAACTTCAGGGAGGCACAGCTGGATAGAGGCTGTAAACAGAAAAGCTTAAACCAAGTGAATTGCATTGTACTCTAGCTTGAGAAAGAATATGGGGAGAGGACTTCTGAAAGGGATGTTCAAAAATAAGTTTTTATCTTTCCTCTAGCACCACAGGAGAGAGTGCCTTTTAGTCATGAACATAAATATCCAGCCAAGCTGACAGGTTTATCTGTAGGGTGAAGACACCAGATGCTATTAAACTTGGATATCATTCTCCTTGTTGATTTGTCTTCAATACAACATATGGTACTGTAACAATAGAGTCTCCCATGTAGACCTCCCTTCAAGAAGGAACACATTGTTCGCAAATAAAATTATCCAGATGACTGAAGATTGTATTTTTCACTAGAAAGGAATTAACTCACACTCTCGGTTTATACATCAATCCCTATTGAGTTTGGTTAGTATTAGTGTGTCCTCTGGAGCCTTCTTACCTCTGTGCAAAGTAATAAAACTAGGTTTCTGGCACGACACAATGGAACAAGGACAGTCCAACCTATTCTCACCCTCATCTTTAGGTGCGTTTTGCTCCAAACCGCAAATTTAGTAACATACTAAGAAGTTACTTCAAAGCTCTCCCTGACAGAGGTTTGTGCCAAACGTGAAACTACCTCATTAAGAGCTTCTGTTGTTACTTCAGTAACTAAGCAATCCTGAGCAAAGTTCAAGACAATACTTGTATTGCATTTTACTCTATGTTAGGGCAAGTTTGCAGTGAATGTCATTGAATGTCATAGGTACAACTCACTTACATGGTTTTTAGCTACATTCTATTTAAAGTAGGTCCTTCTAGAACATTCTATTTAAAGTAGGTCCTTCTAGGAGTCGATGAATAAATTTCCTTGGTTTGTCATCAAGAAGGCTTAAGTGTAGAATTTCCGCTGGGAACAATTCATGTTTTTTTTCTCCCCAGATTATTATTTCCATTGTTTTTAATTATATTTTGATAGTATTTGCTCAATAATATTGAGATACTATCTACTGTCCATGACATGTAGGAGGAGAGGCAAGGAGAGTTTACTTCCTATTCCAAATGTTACATGGCTTGTAGTACTTTGTTAATTATGGACCATTTTCTCAAGCAACTGTCTTTACTGAAATCCAGATGATTTTCAAAAAAGTCCTTCTGAAATGGCTTTTGAGAAGTGAGAGTGCCTTCTGAGCTGGTCAGCGCCCAGGTGAATGGTTTCTCTGTCAGTATTTCCCAAAATCTGTTCCGGGAAAAACCACACTGGAGAGATATTAATAGGATGTTACTCAAAAGTTTCTGTGGTCAGATGCTTGAGAAACACCACGCTAAACAAAGTTAGACAAGTTCCATTACTGCAGGGCTTCTCAGAACAATTCTGTGTTCTCTCATTAACCGTGCCAAGAGAGCACAGTTCAGATCCAAAACTTCTTTGTCCATTATGTGGAACCCATGATGTGAAGTATTCCACGATCTAGTAAAACAAGTTTCACCAAAGAACCCAGGCCACCATACAATCACGCACAGCAGGAGAGACGGCAGACATCATCTTCACTAATTTTTTTTATAATTAATACTTTTTATCCTCACTTTAAAATAGAGGACAGGAGCGCCTGGGTGGCTCAGTGGGTTAAAGGCTCTGCCTTTAGCTCAGGTCACAGTCTCGGGGTCCCGGGATCAAGCCCCACATCAAGCTCTCTGCTCAGCGGGGAGTCTGCTTCCCCCTCTCTGCCTACTTGTGATCGCTGTCAAATAAATAAATAAAATTAAAAAAAAAAATAAAATCAAGGACAATCGAATTCCAATGTTCAGGCAGTCGACCTGTCGGAAGAAGAGAAAGAACCAGGCCTGCATCCCATAAACAACCTGCAATGGCGAGTGTTCCATTTCCCCTCGGTAAA